TCGCTAGAAGGAGACTCACTTGGTAAGGGGTCCAACGACTCGCGCTCTCTCAGATCTAAATCTCTTGGTTTGAACCCAGGATGGTCATTTCTAGCCAGTCCACGGATCTAGCATTCATCATTTGGAAATAGGGGACTTTACTAGTTAGTGGCCTCCATGCGAGTCTATATTTCAGTTACATAAGTAGGAATAGGCCATCTATGATGCTTCTACCCCCATTGATGACTGGTGTTGCGACGTGACGTAAAATTACCATTATAACTTCCGTTAGCTAATATTAAGACTCCATTTTTCCAAATCCCTTTTTGCCGCCAACCAACATACTTTTATTTCATTCTGAGTAAGGCTAGAAATTTAATCGAATCCTGCTTTATGCAAGCAATTCCTGGTCGGTCAATCCTCATTGGTAAGCGAACGTGTTGTTGGCTTTGAGGTCGAATGGGGATCTTGGAGATTTAAGCCGCAAGTTAGTGCTGCCGCTAAGGGCTTGGCAAGTGCTACGTCATGAGTCCCGATGTTACCGCGGCTACAAACGGCAAAGTTCTGCCAGTACTGACCGCTCATTGTTTGAGATGACGCCCGAATTCAGGGGTATCTGAGTGTACAATTCATTCTGGCTACTTCAACGCGCCCATCATGAGTCCACCACGTCATCTCAAGCTCGAGCTTGAAGATGGCACTTGGATCAACTACTCAGATGCGCAAAACGAATTCGACGATATCGTTACTAAACTGGGATATACCGAACATCGCAAAAAGCTCTACGACAATCTCGATAAACAAAAAGACACGATTCGGTCTCTCGTTAGACACCATCTACACTTAGGGAATGATGCTGAATGCATTGTTCTGCCCCAGGCGCAATGGATCAAGGGGAGCTTCAATGTCTGCATCCCTATCACGACAGTGTCGGGTACTGTTCGTCGCGGTCTGATGTTGCGCTGCTGTTTACCGTACAAACTTGCCGAGGCACAATACCCCGGTACCATTGAGGAGAAGTTGAGATGCGAAGTCGGAGCTTATGTCTGGATGCAGCGGCATTGCACAGACATTCGTATTCCCTACCTTCACGGTTTTGGCTTCGCCGATCACCGCCACGTACGTTTGCTTGCTTTGATACGCTGCCCATCTGACTGTCGTTGCAGTATTCCCATGAAAACTATCGCCCTTGGTATATACGCCTTTTCCGCAAAGTTCAGCGTCTTTTCAACGATCTTTCACATCGCGACGTGCCCTCCCAGTATACCCTTCATCCGTCGCGTCACCATTTACCAACTGCATACATGCTGCTCGAACATATCGGCCCTGGCGTAGGACGAATGCTTTCACATACCTTGCCTGACCATTACAAGGATCTAGACCGCAGAGAACGGCTGTTCCGAGGTATAGCACGCGCGATGCTCTCCCTTGCCCGAGTTCCTCAGCCGCGAATAGGGTCTTTCCAGTTCCATGACGATTGCTATATCAGGCTAACGAACCGGCCATTGACGTGCTCGATGATGATCTTCGAGAATGAAGGTACGCGGAGAGCGATCGAGAGGACCGAAACATACTCATGCACAGAGTCCTTTGCTTCTGACATGATTTCATATCACGACAATCATTTTATTAGTCAACGTAATGTTGTTGATGAAGTAGATTGTCGTGACAGTATGGCTATGAGGACCCTGCTGCGAGGATTGTCCTGTAAATACCTCAAGAAAGAGTTTCGAAACGGGCCATTTGCCTTGCAGTTCACCGATCTACATGCAAGTAATATTTTTGTTGATGATGACTGGAATGTCACTTGTCTGCTGGACTTGGAATGGATCTCGGCACTGCCCGTGGAGATGTTAGCCGTGCCCTACTGGGTAACTAATCGCAAGATCGATGAGGTAGCGCACAAAAAAGAGAAGGACAAAAACAAGGACAAAGATGAGGACAAAGACGAGGACAAAGATGAGGACAAAGATGAGGACAAAGACCATTTTGAGGAATTCAACGAGGCTCGGCAACAGTTTATGCGTGTGTTTGAGGAGGAGGAAGCAAAGGCAGATTCAGACATTCCTCTTTCAAGGGTCATGCAAGACACGTGGAACTCAAAGGCATTTTGGTTTTGGCACTGTCTCAAGTCCGTGGACGCTATGCGCTGGCTTATATGGGATCAAATTTGTCCCCAGTTCGGCACGCACTTGGGTTCCGATCTTAGTAGAACGCTCTCGAAGTTTTGGTGCCAAGACTCCCAAGAGATGGTCAACAAGAAGATGGATGAGCTCAAAGTTTATGAGAAGGAACTGTGTGATGCTTTCAAATAGGGCTTAGATCCTGAAATATAAGAGTCCGAGCTGTAGATTCATCCTGTATCACTTGGCCTCATTCGCCTTCTGCTCCTCCGCCTTCCTCTCCTCCTCCGCCTTCCTTTCTTGCTCCGCACGAGCTTTCTTCAAATCTTCTCTTCGTTTCTTTGCTGCATCGCCTGAAGAGATCACTGCGGCGTGGCTTTGTCGGCCAAAGGATGCCTCCTGGATGACGCCGTCATAGCTATCATGCCCACTCTTGCCGCCTCCGGCGTCTGCCATTATCGTTGTTGATGAAGTTGAGGGGTAGGTCGACGAGACGGTTGATAAGGAGACCGACGTGATCGAAGAGAGGGAACCGACGAGATCGAAGAGGGGATCGACGTGATCAGAGAGGGGATTGACAAGACTGAAGAGAGAGGTCAAAGGTTTGACTGCCTGTTTGTTTGCTTCTGCTCCTTTCGCAAGATCAATTCGGTATGGATGGGTTTCGTGGTGCTATATATAGTCAATTGCCCGGCTGCGTTCTCAATACAACTTCGCATCGACGCTGCTGCCTAGAATGTTGGGCCAGTCTTCGGGCTCCTGTGTGATGAATGTGCAAGTGGTCTACATATCAGGTCGCTTGTGACCTGACATGGTCGTGCAGGTCGCGGCCGAATACTACGTACTCACACACGAGGGAAGTGATCAATCCGTTGTTGGTCGTTGAATGTGCTGCATGACGCCAGAGAAAAGTCCTAGATTCGAAAAATCAGGCAGAACAGGCCTACTATAGTCATTAGCACAACAACCAGACTATTTATTACCTTGATAGTCTCTCTGATTCTCTCGCCTGTCGCCCATGCAACCGACAGCATTGTTACCGAGTATTTTTCTCTGTAAACACAATTAATAGCATTCTAGGCACTTCTCATCTCACCTCGTTAGCTAGGTGTCTCCGTGACGTCAACGGCAGAACAGGCTCTCCTTCAGGTGGGGGATCACAGGGATGCTTGCAAGTGGCTACCTATCTAACAGCCATAGGTACTTGGGGGGGCTGGGGGGGCAATGCGTTGCTTAGGTATGTACGGAGTCGAAAGTTGACAGCCGACAGCGATTGACTTGTTGCTCTGCATGCTTCAAGAAGCCATCTCAGCCAATAAATAAAGTAGGGCGAGTAGCAAACCAGGAGCGAAATTTAGGAGCACCAACATGGTCCAATCAATTACTAGATTTAAGAGCACTTAAATCTCACCGCTTAGATTTAGGAGGTTAGCGCTGGTGCCCGGCTCGCTAGCTGCGGTCTAAAACAAGCACTGATTGACATGGAGGGGCGTGGAGGTAGAAGCAGTGGGACTGCCTTCGTTACGGTGCAGTTGTTCGCAATAACGGTCATCAACGGCCATTAACGGTTATGGGGTTGATAACGGTCTTGCTTCCAAACGGTGAGGAGCGAACTCTGTCGTGTCCGGTTTTCGGAGTTGCCAAGGATCGCATTATCACGTGCACGCAGCAATCCGGGTCAATATCGGTAAAACTCGATTTTTTTGCCAAGACCTAGCTCGACTATGAAAGAAACCCCGTCCGCTCTCCCATAGTCAAGCCACTAACCGGCGGATTAGTAGTTGGGTCGGTGACGACCAGCGAATCCCCGCTGTTGCATGTTTTTTTGCGAATTACAGCAATTGACTTTTTGGTCTGTGTTTTCATCAGACAGTTGTGTTGTTGTGACGTGTTGGCGCAGATGCGCTGTTAAGGCGAGCGTGACGGTTTTTTTCACGAATTTCTTTTTTTCAGTGTTGTCTGTGGCCCATGCGTCTATGGACCTTGCTGCGACTGCCAACCGCAACCCCACTACAGCAGGTTTCAACCTGTCTATCTTCCGTAGTATAGTGGTCAGTATGCAAGCTTGTCACGCTTGAGACCCGGGTTCAATTCCCGGCGGGAGAGATCCAGCCACCTGTGATACACAGGCGATTCCTTTTTTGGCCAATTGTCCTATCGCTTATTCTGACAGACAACATGTAATGCACGTTATCTGCAGTGATGCTGTATATCTGCGTTTATTTTCCAATGTCGCCGAACTAGTAGTAGCCCGAGAGCTTGCATGCTGCAGGGCTGCTCTGGGCACCATCTCAGGCGCTTGGGTTACCCTGAAGAACAGCTCTCAGACAATCGAGAGAGTGAAATGAGCGCCTGAGCATTATGGGTGTGGAAAATTCAATAAAATGCAGTTGCACCAGAGGATAAAAAGGTAACCAGTCCGTTGATGAGTTTAGTAAACTTGCCACAAGTGAATATTATGTACTCAAGGATAGATTGGTTGTCGGCAGTTACACTACTGAGCGCAAACTCAACATGGCATCGCACCTCGATGTACGCGAACCAAAGAATACCAACATCGCACAGTTGACCAAGTACCTATAGACTGACTAAATTGATTACCAAAGTACGCGTCCATATTATTGTGACTGTTGCAAGACAGTAATCGGTGCGATTTATGTTTGCCCGAGATCGCGTCGCATTGTGGAGCCCCACCAACGACGCGAATTACGAATGTAGAGAAACTGGTCTTGCTAGGAATTACCAGAGCCAAAGCAATAACTTGTTGATGTTATTTAATGTCAAATCCCAGATCGGAGAGATACAGAACAAGAGAATCAACTCACAGAAGCATTTTGTCGACTGGTGTCAAGAGAAACAGGCAAGCCACAGTGGGAGTCTCCTAAGCTCAAGATGCTCAATCACCAAACATGCAGATATTTCTCAATGTCCTGAAATAACCAAAGAGACCAGAAAACGACAAAAAGAGATAAAAAGAACATCGACAACGGCAGGATTCGAACCTACGCGTGCGAACACAATGCCTATGATGTCTCAGAAGAGATAGCAGGGCATCGCCTTAACCACTCGGCCACGTTGTCCTGAGTTCGTTGGACAGCAGTCGTCCGATTGCGAGGATATAGACACATGCAAAACCAGTGAATTATGCATAAGACATGATAACAGAGTGTTAGATACATGGCAGATTGCATAAATGAACTCTGTCCTCTTGAATGATGGAGAAGGTCCAGATTCTTATTTTTATTTGTCAGTTATCACATGCACGTCGTATGTGGAGGACACGGCCGAGAACGAACACGCCGCACGAACTCAGTTTAAAGGAAGTGTAAAAGAGGACTGCCTCAAAGCTTATTCAGCACGATGCTCAATTGTTGAGATCAATTCTATTGCCAGTTATGTTTGTATAGTAGGAAGAATGCCAATCAATTTATCCAGTCTAAACCCCACTGAAGATCTGAATCTCGTAACCAGCACTACGCTTCGGGCTTCTTAGCATAAGTAACGCAACTACGAACAGTTAGCCACAATCTCTCCCAGGAAATCAAAACACTCACATGGGCCAATAAGCATGGATCTTGGGGTTGTTCCAGTCCTGTCTCAGCTTCACCAAAAACACCTCGACCTCCTCACGGCTCCAGCCCAATCCTCTCGTGAAAGGCGCCATAGTCAGCGCCTCCAGAGCAGAGGCTGCATTGACGTTATTCCACTGGCCCAGCTCCTTGTACTTCTTGTCCTTGGGCCAATGGTTGGTAGGCCACTTGTAGCGCGTCTCAACAACATCAACGAATCCGACGTCTTTCAGCATATCCTTGAAGTTGGTGGTGCGCTCGAATGAACGGTTGAACTTTCCGGCTGCCTCATCAAGAAGTCGGCACCATTTGTACATGGTATGGTCTTCCTTGAGGGTGCCATCGTCGCTGCCCATGATGACATCGACATCTTGCAGTTCAACATAGCCGCCAGGAGCCAAGTTTCTGCTTGCGTCAGTAGAGTTCATTTGACGAAGAATAAGACATATTTTACTGGTAGATCTTGGTGAAGTACGACTTCCAGTTCTGAATGCTAAAGTTCATAAATCTGCTGTGAATAAAGTCGAACGGTTCGCTGTAAGTCCATTCCTCGTCGATATCATCAATCTCAAAGCGAACATTTGGTGGCACACTATGAATCATCAGTCTTATTTTTCACGTTTGGCTATAAGCTTGACTCATACAAGCTCGGCTGGCTCGGCGAGAGGTCAATGCCAATGACCTATCTTGTCAGCGGCTATTCTGGTTAAGCTTTAATGGCGTAGCTCACTGTTGCCTCGGGATGTTCGTCGCCAAAGTCAATCGCCCAGATTCCGGTGCCAGTGCCAACGTCAAGGACGCGCTTAACCTTGGAGTCGGGAAGGTTGGGAGGGCTTAGACCGAGCTTGTTATCAAGAGTGAGCAGGAACAAGTTATGTTGTAGATCTGTGTTGTTATGTTATTGTTATTGTTATGCTGCGTTCGGCGGTATTTGAGATTACATACCAAGTCTTTCGTTCTCCTCGTCATCGTTCGGGAGATTGTATTCTGCGATTGGGCACGTCAGTGATAAGTCTCGTATCGTAGAGGAGTTTGCTTCATACTGCCGTCTCGAAAAGCATGATACGTTCTTCCGTTTTCTTGACGAAAGTCAAGAATTGAGCTTCTCAAACTGTCTGTCGAAGATGCATTGTCCTATGCCATAGTATCAGTAACAAAGGTCTGTAATGGTGGCCATGGGCTGATCTCATACTGCACCAAGTGACGAGTCTGCGTCAGAGTGCTGTGGCCGTTAGTTAGCTAGCTTCAGTGGGTCGGTTCCAGCGGGAACTAACGTTGTCGTCAGCGTCTACGACGGGATGCGCTTCGATGGTCGTCATTGTCGATTGCAGATCTTTACGCTCGAATTACAAGAAGCCCCAAAAACTATCGTGGAATGTTTGTTTATCTGTCAAATGACAACTTAAATGCCGCATGTGGTACGCACATGATCCAAGCTTTCAAAACCTGCATTGTTTTCTCTTTTCTCGTCCGATGCTGTGGTACAAAACTGACGACCAACATGCATGACACGAACCAACACAGCGTTGCACACGCTGCCAAATATGTACAGTGAAGCGATTGCCGAAGTTCCGCCTGCTGTCATTCCTTGCAAGACCCTGAAAGAACCGCTTCCTCACTGGTCCCAGCCGCTGAGAAGTGGTCTGGTGTCAGGCATTTGGACAGGTTCCGATTGGCGGAGGGCGGGGTCGTGCGGTGTCAAACCCAAACAGGTAGAGTCCACCGTTGACCCCACGAGCAAAACAGAATAGTGCAATAATGACAGCCATTCACCTCACATGATAAAAGATGCTTCGCAGTAACGACGTCAAAAAAAAAAAAAAGAAAAAAGCCAAGATATCTCTCTAGTAGCAGTCTGCATTCACGTCGATGTTTTCCAGGAAGAAT